TAGATAGATAGATAGATAGACAGACAGACAGACAGACAGACAGACAGACAGACAGACAGACAGACAGACAGACAGACAGACAGACAGACAGACAGACAGACAGACAGACAGACAGATAGACAGATAGATAGATAGATAGATAGATAGATAGATAGATAGATAGATAGATAGATAGATAGATAGATAGATAGATAGATAGATAGATAGATAGATAGATAGATAGATAGATAGATAGATAGATAGATAGATAGATAGATAGATAGATAGATAGATAGATAGATACTTTACCCCACTCATTATCATTCACACTGTTATTATGCTGCAATTTTTTTTCGCCAGGCTCGCGCAGTGGTCCTTTACTGTTCGAAAACCACAGTGAAGGGGTGTGGTTTATTTCACTGTGCGTGTCTGCGTGTGCGCGTATAGCTGTTCTCCCAAGGTTACTTTAAGATTGTTCTGATAAACTTGGACGGCGTTTCATTGTTTACGAAATCAGCTCTGAGTCCGCATGTATTTGGAAGTAGCTGCCCAGAATTACAAATCACTCCCCGCTTTTCAGAAAGAAAACTACAATAAAAACGTTTGTCGTCGCGATCAGGTGAATCTTATTTAAAACTCGGAGCTTTTTCAAGCTGCTAGCTTTCCCAGATCTGTGATTGAATTAATTTGTTCATTCGCTCGTAAGCGCGTACCTCCACGGTTTGTGCAGCACCATTTTTATTACCCCTGGCAGCACGATTCAGCCTAGTATTTACGTACAAGCTCCAGCCGCGTGACAATGGGCAGGCACTATCTCACCCTGTACTTTAAGCCTCCGTGTATTATCTGTCCCGTTTTATTTTTTATTTCATGTCTCTGCGAGAATGCTTTCCGATAACGCCCTTGGAAACAGTTGGAGCGATATTGGCAACTTCGAATCAAGCACGAAGGATATTAGCAGCTGACTTCGATACTCAAGGGAGATGTACCACTCTGTACGGTACATTTCGGTGCATTGCTTGCAAGGTACATTGCAGTGTGTAACGAAGATGTATGAGCCCTCTCTGTTATACGCTATTAATATTCTTTGCTTTTTTAAGCTAAGCTGTGCATGACTAGTTTCTGTCGTATGGCGTAGGTGAAGAAATACGCAATTTTTGGTGGTTCCATATACTTGACTAATCCACCATTTGCGGGTGTAGAAAAATGAACTTGGCGGAAGGGTGAAAACAAAGGTAATTCGCTGACGTGGTAAAATTATGAACAATTCCGCCTCGAAGAGAAGAGACGTACTTGCATAACGAACAAACCTCGTGGGCTTTTTCTTTTGTATTTTCGAAGCAACCGGGTTTTTGTACATTATAGTTAAAGGATTTCCTTTAGAGACAGCCTTTGAGCGCCGTTGATGAAGGTAGCACACGTCATGCGCAATAGAAACACCGGGATCTTCGAGTGGATGCAGCTTTTAATCACGGACCTGCTTAAGCCAAGCTTTGGTCCTTGATGGGTGAAAAGATAGATCATGATCACAAACCGGCCCGTACCCTCTTTTTAATCTTCTGATTCAGCGCAGAACACCTGCACCAATTTCTTCAAGTGAGATAGGTGAGACTCCGATGGGTGAGAGAACGACAGTGAAGGAGAAAGAAAGATAGAAAAACAAAGACACGAGAAACTGACACGTTCTTCCCGAAAGAACTTTCTTCGCAAGACGTGATTTGAAGCTGCGTAAACGCACAATCGCAAGCGCATCGTGACCATTCGGCTATCCATGGCTTCTTTTTCTTTATTGCCTATGTACCGTTCGGCTATCCAGGCACCACGCTTACTACACTATAGATGCAAGCCTATATGCTACGCACGTTAACGTGGCCTATAGGATAACCTTGTATGTTTAGTGTAGCAAGGGGGTGAGTAACGATTCCGGGTGGGGAGGCAGGGAAAAAGTAAGGCAAAGCAGAAAGGCTGAGAAAGAGAACTTGAGAGAAAGACATAAAGATAATCAAACAACGCGGGGAAAAGATATAGAAGGAGAGAGAAGTAAAGAGAAATGAGCAGAGAAAAGGCAGACAAGAAGTAGAGAAAAGAGAAATAAAAAGAAAAACATCAAGAAATTACATGTAGGGTTTTACGTCCCAAAACCAACACATTACGAGTGACGCCGTATAGTAAAGTTGAAAAATTGAATTGCTGCACAAACTTGAAGAAAAAAACAAGAGAGACAGGAAAGAGTGCAGCACTCTTTCCTGTCTCTCTTGTTTTTTTTCTTCAAGTTTGTGCAGCAATTCAATTTTTCAAGTATGAACCAACTAGTCTGCAAAAAAGTATTGCTTCAACATATTTCTAGTTCTGCGGACTCTTTCCTATGTTACCTGAAGAAGCCACAAGCTGCTAAGGCTTGCGTGAACCTTGTCGCACAGTCCATCTGCATGTCTCGATATCTGTCCTACTGCTTAAAGAAGAAATACGTTCCTATTGAAGTGAGAGTACTTTTCGGCGCTCTGGAGCCATCCTGGGGCCACGCCAAGAGAGTTTGTAAACTGATGAAGTCTGAATCGTGGAGACAAGTGCGATTCTATTTTGACTGGCTCAAGGTAGTACTCCAAGAAAAAAAAACTGCACTCTTTCCTGTCTCTCTTGTTTTTTTCTTCAAGTTTGTGCAGCAATTCAATTTTTCAAGTATGAAACAACTAGTCTGCAAAAAAGTATTGCTTCAGTATAGTAAAGGGTTCCGGAAATTTCGACTATGTGGCGTTCTTTAGCGTTCACTTACATAACACAGATACGGGGGCCAATTCGTCTCCACCGAAATGCGACCACCCCAGCAGGGATCAAACCCGCGACGTTCTGACCAACCACCGCTCCACCACGGCGGACGAACAGATGAACAAAGAGAAAACTAAAGAGAGACAAAGAAGGCTGCCCAGCTCCGGACATTTTTCAGGCTTTGGAACAATATATATAGTGCGTAGGTAGGTTAATTTGCGTCGGCACAGAATAGTGAATGATAATATGCAAATTCAGTGTATAGCGATATTTTTTATACCAGACCACCGATGGTCACAGCTTTGTTGGCTTTAACAATCACTTCAACGGAAAGGCTCTGAATTGTTTAAGTGTGAATACACTTTATAAGCGACCGCCGTCGGCGGCGTCCGCAGTCTTCTCTCTATATTTAAAAGAAAGAGGACTTGGCGGGCCGCAGCGCGATGCTCTACCGAATAAGCCACGGACGCGACGCTGATAGTCTCCTCTCCCTTCGCTCATTCCTCCGCTCTCCTCGCTCGCTGCAGCTGCGCGCGCACCCCTCTCTCTTGCGCGCTCGCCTTCTCTCTCAGTCTCCCATCGAGAGCGGGTCGTAAGGGGGAGTAAAGTTAAAATCCGTCGGCATTCGCCAGTGAGTTAACGTAAACTCCCCCGTGTGATCTAATTGCGATTCCCAGGAACCATTACACCATAAAGGCACCATAGTATGATTAATAAATAGAACAGTGCGAATTAATAAATACCCCTCACAGCATCACCCCGTGCATTCGCACTTAACCATGTTCACCCTCGGGGAAATGCTCGGAAGTTTTTTCTTTCTTCCACGACGACCCCACGTGGGAGGCCTGTAGGTGCCACTCAAATTGCAGGTACTCAACAAAACTTACTCCTTCTCATTTGTTCAATAAGCAAGCGTTATTGCGTGGCACAATAGCATTTGTTTACGCGCACAGCGCTAGGCTCCCATAGAGGTATGAAACAAAAGCGTATGGTGCTATTACATGAGATGCACAATGTAATCACTTACGGACAAAATGGACAAGCGCAAACCCGACTGCCCTATTAAGTCGCCAGAAATCATCTGTGACGCCATATCTGCTTATCGTCGGCTATTGCGAACCTTAATGCCTCTGACAGCAGTATATGTGATTGTAAGCGCCCCCCGCCCCCCACACAGACATTTATTATAGTCTATATTATCGCCGCACATGAACGAAAACGAACCGATTACACAGGCCGCTAGGTGAGGCAAGAATGGAGAACACGCACTATATATATATGTATATATATATATATATATACATATATATTCGGCTATTGCGTGTCAGTTACACCTCTCCTGAATAGACATGATTTCATGCAGCAAAACGGGATGTTGGGCAACTTCACTGGTACATTAAAATGCACAGACATGGACTCAAAAAAGTAAAAATAACAAAATTAATGCTTTGTTTTTCTTTTTTTGCTGTGTATGTGTTGACGTGCTTGACTTTTGGTAATGTGAACCATTTCATAGATTTAATGTCGCGGCCGGTGCCCGTTACCGTTGGCGGGGTGACTGCGATTTAGCAGAACGACTTTACACCGTCTGTCATATATAGAGAATTGCAAGATTGCAACACACACACACACACACACACACACACACACACACACACACACACACACACACATACATACACATACATACAAGAAGTGAAAGAGGGGACCCTTAATATTCGCCTTTGAGAGCTGAACATGATAGCGTTATCCACACGTACGCACGCTCACACACAGATAATCACGTTTCCAATCTTTAGTGCACATTCCCTTCTTAGTGAAGACCAAAACTGAGCCCCAATCAAGAAAATCAAAAGTGAAAATGCCATCAGGTTCACATCTTTACTTGCGTCTATATCGAATTTTCGCTCACGGCTAAATCACATTTTTTCGCTCACAGCCAAAGACGCCTCCGGCTACATCGGAATTTCTGCGAAACAACGAGCTCCTTGACGCTATCGCGTTAACACCTTCCCCACAGCTCCCGCCTCTCCCTTTCCACGCAAACGCACAACAACCGGACAACGCCCCTGTCAACGTTCAAACAGGCGAAATACGCATTGCACTGTTTCACACCTCGTGAAACCATCAGTGAGAGCAAATCGTTAGTATAAGCACCGATACACGTAGCTTAACTGGCGTCCTTACGTGCCGACAGCATCGCTGCTGCAAGTATAAACATGCAGCCACACAGGGTGGGCCCATTTTATACTCACTGTGTCGGGCGTCCGCGGGCACTCACTGTGCGGTGTGGCGCTGCACACGCTTGAAGTGTCAACCACTACGAAAACATCGAAACAAAGATTCGCACAGTCCGTTATACACGCGTAGACAGCGCGAAGCGACGCTCCTTGGCGTCGTCGGCGTGCAGTTGTGCCGAGGACTCACTCCTTCCCGTTTGAACGACGCGATTGCCACAGTCTCCGGCAACGCTTCCCAACAGTCTCCGCGCTATCGTGTATTGTTACAGCATCCGCGTTTAATGAAAAATAAAAGCAGCAAAGATAAATCTTTCACGCTCTCGATCACGTGTTCCGGCTAAGCCCGCCCTCTGCCAGCCGCGCCGTCGGTCGCTTGACGCGCTCTCACGCCTTCTTATCATTCGAAATAAATACGGGCGCGAAACAAAACGCCCGCTTCTTCATGGCGCAGGTCATTGAGCATAAGCAATTCTAGACGTAAGTATAATTGTCGACGGTCAAGCAGGGGCGTGGCCGCAGGGTAGCATGCCGGGCACTCCCGTCCCCGCCCTCCAGAAATATTTTTACGCCATTCCGTCTCGTATAACTGAATAAACATTTTTACCTTACCCGGAGACCATAGCCTCCACCGCACAGAAAACTAAGCAGACCCCCGGCTCGGACACTCGGGCTTCTTCGGGTCGGGGCATACCCTAACACCGCGCTAGTGAAGAAAATTTATCCCGAAATATAGTCAACTAATATATGTTCCTTCTGCGACGCGATATAGCTAACTTGGAACATATGCTCTGGCGGTGTCCCGCGTTACGCTGTGGGGAAAGTCATTGCGCCGTCCAAACAAGAGTGTGCTATTACGAGCTCCGGACTCGAACAACAGTTACGGGCAGAGCAACGGGCCAACGTGGGAGCGGCCCGCAACGTGCTGAAGCACGTTTCGACGGACAAAATAAAGTTCATCCATCCGTAGCATCGAGAGCACAAGTTTCTAAAAATAGGTGCCCCCCCCCCAAAAAAAAGAAAGAAAAAATGCTGGCTACGCCCCAGCAGCTATGCAATGGCGGCATAATAACTTGCGGCATAAGCTTACTTTCGCGCCATAAACACGAAGCACGCCGGAGCACTTCCTATATACAGCGTTTACGTTGTGTGGAACTGTGTACGTATCTTTCCAAAAATATTTGAGCGCTAAAATTAACATACACGCCTTGAGTCTTTTGTATATGAATGATATTGTGCGGTAAATATATCGCCTATAACTGATATTTTAGCTAATGGAATGCGAAGATGATGTGTGCAGTTCTTTTTCTCCTCTTCTTCTTCTTTCCTATTATGTTTATAGCGCGTCTGTTTGGACCCATTTAGTTTCCAGCTACATAACACTTTGTGTCTCTCATGCCAGTCGACAAAATGCCGAGACTAAAGAAAGACCTTTCAGCAACCGAAAATTTCATGGCAACCAATGCAGTTAGTTCTCTTGCAAGCACGAAAAGATGTCAGGTGGCGTACACTGAGGCGCCGCATTCTGAACCTCCAAGCTCTTCAACGCCAAAGCTTAAGACTTTTCAACTTTTCCAGCGTCCATCGAGGAGAATCGCGCGTATACTTATAGGATGGCAACGGCTATGTTCTAATAGGAAAGATGATTGATATGTGGGATTTAACGTCCCAAAACCACCATAAGATTATGAGAGACGCCGTAGTGGAGGGCTCCGGAAATTTCGACCACCTCGGGTTCTTCAACGTGCACCCAAATCTGAGCACTCGGGCCTACAACATTTCCGCCTCCATCGGAAATGCAGCCGGCGCAGCTGGGATTTGACTTCGCAACCTGCGGGTCAGCAGCCGAGTACCTTAGCCACTAGACCACCACGGCGGGGTATTCTAATAGGAAAGACAGGCTCAAGTCTGCGCTGCGCCATTGGCCGCCGTAGCGAAAAGAGGGCAAAGCACCGGGTGCTCGGACAGGCTGCGCTTGCTGGGTCTTCAAATTGTGCGCACAGAAAACGCGTTCCTTGAGGCGCTTATCTCGCATTTCGCACACTATGGGCGCCGCTCCTTCGTCATCCTGAAAAGCCTGCACGCACTACTGCTGCATTGTCAGCTGCTACAAAAGCTTGAACATGCCAAATACCTCAAACTGCCCATCAAGTTCTAACGTTTCCAATACAAGCAGTGATTGGCAGGATAGTGCTCGCTCAAAGACATCGGTTTGACTTGCTTTCAGGTGGTCGAAAGTTCCGGAGCACTCCACTACGGCGTCTCTCATAATCATATGGTGGTTTTGGGACGTTAAACCCCACATATCAAACAATTTGACTTGCACTGTCAATGAGTCGTTCTTGGTTCTGACAAGATTCACACCGTGAAAAGGTTTTCACAATCTTTTAAATGCAAAGCATTTTTTAGCGAACTTCGGCGACATTGAGCGTATCTATCTATCTATCTATCTATCTATCTATCTATCTATCTATCTATCTATCTATCTATCTATCTATCTATCTATCTATCTATCTATCCGCTTACGTTTGGGTGCTCTTGTGGCCACCCCATTTATTGGCGTGAACTAAAATTAGCATGACAGGGTAAGATTGTTTGACGAATACGACGCGCTTGTCAAGACATGAATAATGTCCCAATCCCGCCACGTACGTCGTCAAAGACTTCCCACCAAACAGTGGCACATACCCACGGGTGGGTATGTGACACTGGTAAGCAGGTATGTGCCACAGGTGATTGACACTTGGTATCTGCTCAGGAACGACGAGAACACACATGGGCAATTTTAACGCGCGAGTGTTATGAAACACCCGACGTCGGTAGCGTCGACCCGAAGAGTCCCAGCTGGAATCGAACCAAGGAATTTTGGGTACCAATGAAGCATTTTACCACAGAGCTACGCCAGGTCTCGGGACTACTTTTCAAGTAGATGCTAATCTTCGTAAAACTTTATTGATTGATTGATTGATTGATTGATTGATTGATTGATTGATTGATTGATTGATTGATTGATTGATTGATTGATTGATTGATTTGTGGGGTTTAACGTCCCAAAACCACTATATGATTGTGAGAGACGCCGTAGTGGAGGGCTCCGGAAATTTCGACCACCTGGGGTTCTTTAACGTGCACCGAAATCTGAGTACACGGGCCTACAACATTTCGCCGGGATTCGATCCCGCGACCTGCGGGTCAGCAGCCGAGTACCTTAGCCACTAGACCACCGTGGCGGGGCTCGTAAAAAGTTATTAGTGGTTTCAGTGCTGCCAACCCAGTTTTATAGGCGTTACATATGTACTATTCTGATACAGCCGTCACGTCGGGCTAATGTCAGTTGTGGTTAGTTGCCATGCGCTGAAGTTTATTATTATTTATGTATTACATACTGCAGTCCGTAGACCAAGCAGGAGGGGCACAAAAAAGGGAGCATAGCGAAAAAAGCGAACAAGTTATACAGCAAGTTAGAATACACAAAGCTACTGAAAAACAAGTCATACTAAATAGGATGCTTAGTTATACATATCTATAAAAAAAAGCGAACAAACTTCTAGAAACAGTTTCAAGCAAAAAAAAAGTAAAGCTACACAGTTGAAATAATAAGATTAGGTAATCTAGCATTGAAATATCAACAGTGTTGATTACACAAAAAGGTGCATGTAGTTTTCGATGTCAGGAATGCCACGTTCAGGAAAAACATTTGAAGGCACACCATTCCATTCGCTAATGGTTCTCGGAAAGAAGGAATGTTTGAAAGGTTAGTACGTGCAAAGTAAGGTGTAAGATCATGATTGTGAGCATGCCTGGTTTTCCTGGAAGAAGAGGGAGAGATGTATTTACTGGGATCAATATTAAACTGATGATTACGAAGCAGGAAAAGAAACTTGAGCCTGGCGATAGTTTTACGCTGTTTCAAGAGCGGAATGTTGTTAGTAGCCATAAGTGATGAAGGTGAATCGAGATTGTGATAGGCATTATAGATGAAGCTTACCGCTCTCCTCTGGGTCATTTCAAGTTTATAAACATCCTTTTTAAAATACGGGTTCCAGGCTTCGCATGCGCACTCTAGACGGGGTCTAATAAATGTATTATATGCAAGAAGTTTGATCTGCAGGAGTTGGCGCGTTTATTAGTTTGTGTCTAAGAAACCCTAGTTTTCTAGGGGTGGAGGAACAAGCGTCGTCAATGTGGTTACTCCACGACAGTCGATTGGTAAAATTGACTCCCAAGTATTTAAAATTGCTCACTTCGATCAACGGATTATTATTTAAGGTGTAGCGTGATGCAAAAGGGGTAACTTTATTTGAGATACGCATATAGACCGAGTTACTAATGTTTAACCCCATCGACCAGGTATAGCACCAATCGGAGAGAGAATTTAGGTTGTTCTGCAAGCACTCTTGGTCCCTTTCACTTTTAATTGGCTTGTAAAGAATGCAGTCATCTGCAAAAAGCTTTAGGCTTATGGCGGAGGTGTCAACTGATGAAACGATGTCATTGATAAAGATGAGAAACAAGACAGGGCCAAGGACACTGCCTTGTGGAACTCCCGAGGTTACAGGTAGAACCCCAGAGCAGCAGCCCTCGACCTGGACAAACTGTTTGCGGCTGGTAAGGTAGGAGCGGATCCAATTAATTACAGTAATGAGTAGGCCAATGTTTGAAAGTTTGGTGAGTAATTTACTATGGCAAACACAGTCGAAAGCTTTTCTAAAATCTAAGAAGATGACGTCTATTTGGTCGCCCTTATCAAGTGCCATTGCGAAGTCATGAATTGTGGTAACAAGTTGAGTGGTAGTAGAGAGGCCCTTCCTAAAACCATGCTGGAAAGGAGTCAAAATACTGTTTTCTTTAAGAAATGACATTATGTAATGCGTGATGATATGCTCAAGAAGTTTACAAGGACCGGAAGGTAATGATATTGGCCGGTAGTTTTCAACATTTAGGCGATCACCTTTTTTAAATACAGGAATAACACGTGCCGTACGCCAATCCTCGAAAAAAATTGAATTATGAAACGAAAGACGAAAAATATGGGGGAAAACAAGCGCGATAGGTTCGGCGTAACGTTGCAAAAATGCATTAGGTATGCTTCGGAACCATCGGAAGATTTGGTCTTAACATTCAGTAACAGTGAAAGGAAACCTTCG